AACCTCCCTGCATCGATCCGCCTAGCACGCTTTGTCGGTACCGAAGGTGCAGCCACAGTAGATCGTCTGCACATCGCTTTCTCCATCGGCAAATGAGTACGCGGCGCAGCGCCCGCCCAGTCGGGAGGCTTCTCCAGTGCAGCCAACCGATCCAGTCTGACTGACCGGGGCATGACACGACAGTTGACAGCGTTATCTGACAGCGCCTCCCGGAGATGTTCCACACCGAGGCTGGAGGGACACAAGTCATGCCCGTCGTCGGGCTGAAGTGGAGCCAGACAGGGCGAGCAGCATAAATTATCCAGCATCATACTGCTGAAAGGCGTGATTAGCCCGCCACCAACAAGAAGTCAACACGAGCAGAAAACGCTACTGGCGACTCCGTTGTATAAAAACCCCCGTAGAGGTTCCAAACTCAGTTTGAGCAGAAACGCCACTAGCAAATCGATTATCAACCAAAGATGAACTCAGCACGAGCAGAGGCGCCACTGGTGAGTGTAGATAAACAAACTGTAGAAGAACTCAATGTGAGCAGAGACGCTACCGGTGAGTTCAGGCAAACAAACTATAGAAGAACCCAACGCGAGCAGAAACGCTACTCTTGGGTTTAGGCAAACAAACTATAGAAGAACCCAACGCGAGCAGAAACGCTACTGGTGAGTTCAGAAAACAACTCAACGCGAGCAGACACTATCTGTGAGTTTAGATAAACAAACTGAAAACAACTCAGCGCGAGCAGAAACGCTACCGTGAGTCAAAAGAGCCACAAAAATTAACGTGGCAAATCAAAGCGAACAGTAAACTACTGCTGAGAAAAGAACGAAAACTTACCAGTCACCGCAGATCTGGTAAGGTGAATGCAGCTTGTGCAGCCCCTGGAGGGCGAGACTTAACCGCAGCTCCAATAAACCCGGTCACGGGGCTACCAGCAACAAGCAGCTCGGAAAATAGTGGTTATACACAGAAGCAACCAGCTTCACACGACCACACTCCTGTACTCAACACACCTGCGCGCGAGAAGAACAAAAGGGATTGATTGCCGGGTGCCACGTGACTATATAGAGTCACGTGGGTCCCCGGCAGGTCACAGGTGACTTTGTTGTCATTAGTACTCGACCTGCGCATGCGCAAGAATGAACATTCAGTGCTTGAAGCATCGCTTCTGGCGGTCAGTAGGGATGAAATAGAACTAATGTTTAGGAAGAAAAGACAAAGACATGAAATCTTTGTCCTGAAGTCGCTTGGAGCCACAAGTACTTAGTTACTGAACTTAAGCAGCTTTTTATTTCTGACTTATTTACTTCTTATTTACTTCTTATTTATTTTTCAGAATCCTTTTTCCTTTTCCTTCCTACATTTGAAGCCAAATATCTGGACTTTCTACTCCTTCCTTTCTCCAAACTGGCTCATTTCTTCTCTCCATATTGATAACGACATGACCCAGTTTGGAGAAAGGAAGNATCATTCAGTGCTTGAAGCACCGCCTCTGGCGGTCAGTAGGGATGAAATAGAACATACTGTTTGTCATTCTCTAAGCTGAAATGTTGAATGATGTTTAAAGGCAAGACAAGAAAAAATACAATTATTCTCTAAGTTGTTCTTTCTTTCACATAGTGAGCTTTGCCATATAAGGCTCTGCCTTGCCTTGTTGGAAAAGCATGGTCATGACCTGTTCTCAGCTCCGGAACTAGAACCCGTATGATATCTGGTTGTTCAATAGGTTTGCCTAAATAAAAGATTTATGAGACTGGTGACTTATCAAGATATTCCTGCAAAAAGGTCTGATGTTGCAGGGGCAGGTAATGAAATTTGCTTGAAGCATGCTCTTGCTCTGATGCCAGTTTGTTTCAGCCTTTATCCAGTCTCATGTAGAAGGGCTGGTCAGATCAAGGGTTATTTGCATTACAATAGGGACAGTTAGGAAGGTAGAGAGAATACACAAACTTAAAGAGGGGAGGGGGGCTTGCAGGAAAACTGGAATTCTCCGGGACATCTAGTGTTAAATGTGGTCTGTTTAACATAAGATCTCTTTCCTCTAAAAGTCTGATAGTTAATGACTTGATTTGTGATAATCACATTGACTTGTGTTGCCTTACAGAAACCTGGCTGCAGCAAGAGGATTATGTGAGCATAAATGAGGCAACACCTTCAAGCTATTTAAATTTTCACATACCCAGAAGTGCTGGGCAAGGAGGAGGAGTAGCAGCAATCTTTCAGTCTGACTTACTGATTACTCCAAATGCAGTTAATACCTACAACTCTTTGATCATTTAACCCTTAATTTCCCTGATCCAAATTGCAAGGCAAGAAAACCTCTTCTTTTTGTAACTTTGTATCGTCCACCAGGTCCTTACTCTGAATTTTTAGATGAGTTTTCAGAGTTCCTTTCATGAATTGGTATTAAATACTGACAGGGTCATCATAGTGGGAGATTTTAACATCCATGCTGACATTGAAGGCGATAGCTTAAGAGTAGCATTTACTGCGATCTTGGACACTATTGGCTTTGTTAAAAATGTGGATGGTCCCACACATTCTCATCTTCATACTTTGGAAATTGTGCTGACATATGGCATAGAATGTGAAGAAATAACAATATTTCCTCACAACCCTGTCCTCTCTGACCACTTTCTAATAACCTTATACCTTAATAACCTTTTTAATAACCTAGGATTATTTTAACAGAGTTTTCCTCCCCCACAAGAAACTAGTCCATGCATTTGTTACTTCAAGGCTGGACTATTGTAATTCTTTACTATCAGGAAGTCCACCAACTGTAGTTAAAAGCCTTCAGCTGATCCAAAATGCTGTAGCCAGATTCTGATGAAAATGAAAAAGAGAGATCATATCTCTCCTATCCCGGCTTCTCTTCATTGGCTTCCTGTTAAATCCAGAATAGAATTTAAAATCCTCCTTCTCACATATAAAGCCTTAAATGGCCAAGCTCCATCTGATATCAGAGATCTGATTGTTCCTTATGTTCCTAACAGAGCACTTCGCTCTCAATCTGCAGGTTTACTAGTGGTTCCTAGAATTTCTAAAAGTAGAATGGGAGGCAGATCTTTTAGTTATCAGGCTCCTCTCCTTTGGAACCAACTACCAGTTTTAGTCCGTGAGGCAGACACCCTGTCTACTTTTAAGGCTAGGCTTAAAACTTTCCTTTTTTTAAAAGCTTCTACTTAGAGTGGCTCAGGTTATCCTGAGCTATCTCTATAGTTCTGCTGCTATAGGCTTAGACTGCTGGAGGACATAGGGACCCCTTTTTCATCATTCTGCTTCAATTTTATCTCTATTCTCCCACTCTGCAGAATCTGTTAGTTCAATCTCTAACGTTCTGCTCTCTCTGCTTTTTCTCATAGTAGCTTCATCTGGTCTGTTCCTGTTTGGCTGTGACTCCATCCTGGAGAGAAATATCAGCTGTGCTGCTGCCATCAACACCTTTGTTTCTAGATGTTGGAGCTTGGTCTGTTTTCCAGTGTAGTCCTGTTTCTCTGACTGTGACTAACTGGATGTGCTCTCTTCATCCTCTGACATGGGAGCTGGCTCGGAGCTCGTCTGCCTGGCTGTGTGTTTCCTGGACGGGGCCGCCTGTGGAGCTGGTTGACAGTTGCCTTTTGTATCTATGCTTCTTTTTCTATGTCTGCTTCTGTCTCCTTGAACCCCAGTGGGCCTCAGCAGATGGCCCTCACACTGAGCCTGGTTCTGCTGGAGGTTTCTTCCTGTTCAAAGGGAGTTTTTCCTCTCCACTGTCGCTACAAGCATGCTTAGTGTGAGGGATTGCTGGAGAGTCAATGAGTCGATGTAATCAACGGGTTTTCCTTAGATAGAAAACTTTTAATTATTCTTACTGGATGATCTGGTGAACTGGAAAGTGACCCTAGATGACATGATGTGAATTGGAGCTATAGAAATAAATGAAATTGAATTGAAAATGTAGGCTGAATTGGTTTAACTTTCTTTGTCCTCTGGTGGCACAACTGTACAGTTTCCATGGCTCTAGCTGATGCTAATTTGACTGCCGCTGCTTTTGTTGGGTATAAACTCTGTCCCTCACCACATTCATGGTGGATGGTTCTGCACACCGCTAACAGAAACTGGTAGAGATGTTCAGTTGGTGGACCATAAACATTTTTATTTTCACTGGTTCTTCAGTTACTATGACTACCTGTTGGAAGTCCTTTAGGACTGTAGATGAGCCTCGTCAGCAGTGATTATATAGTCCTCCATCTTCATTGTGTCGATACGTGTTTCTATGTTAAATGTAAGGAGAACTTGTTTCGATCTTTTAGGACAGCTTATGTAGGAATTACTAACCCTAGATTGTAAGTTAAGGCAAACAATACAATAATCAGAGTAAATAAATAGGAACTGAGGAAATAACTGCCTCTCTAGAACATCATTAAATGCTGAACTAGGAGCTGCTCCAAGTTCAAGCTGAAGTAGGGCACTTAGGGGACAGACCATAATAATCACCCAGCTTGGCCAGACCTGACGTCTCCACCTGGACCTGTAGGTTCCAGCCTCTCCTAGGGTTGACCTAATCGGCTTCTTTAGGCCGGCTGGCACAAGCAGCAACTCCTCAAACACTCATCCTGTGGTTCTGGAGAAGAAGCTGGAAAAGGGTCCAATTATCTGCTTCATGCAGAGAGAAAATCTAAAGAGATCGAGAAACTATTAGAACCAGCCGGACAAATTGAAAAAAAGAAACCTTTGGCCCATTTAAAATGAAAACTGGAAGAACTCAGGACTCCATTGATAAAACATCAGATCAGTAGAGCTCATCAGAATACAGGCTGCAGTCAGCCAGGGAGCATAACGGTCAGAGTGGATGGCTGGGAGAAGGTTGGGTCCAGAACGGCCCTGGACCCATCAGGGGGGTTGTGTCTACAGCACCAGCCTGTGGGAGCTGCCGCAGTGAGTTGAGCTTAGGTTCACAAACATCATGAGGTCAAAGATCTGTCATCCCGCCTCAGGTCTGAGGGTTGGTCTGAGGTCCAATCTGAAGGGAACGGATACTATGAGAATCCTCAGGCGAAGGTAGAGATCTACTGACTGACCGTCCAACTGTCCCCGTTTCACAGGAAGACCTGTTCAGAGCGAAAGCAACAGTGTTCAACAATCAGCCCCAGGACCTGCAGACGGATCCCTTCCACTCTGAAGACCCGTTTAAAGCGGACCCATTCAAAGGTATCTGGACCGTTCCTGTCCACTTTCCTTACAGTTTCTCCTCATTGGCTGATGGCTTCTCCTTATCTCCTCTGTTAGGTGACCCATTTGAAAACGACCCCTTTGGAAAGCCTCCACCATCATCATCTACAGGTAGGTCCCATGAAGGGTTGCCATGGAAACGGTTTCTGGGTACTCTGACCCAGAAGTGAACTGGGCTGCATGCAGTGATCTTTGGGAAAGGACCTGAGAGGACTACATCATCTTTGTTGTGTGTACTAGTATGTTATTGTAGACAGAAGGTTCTGGAAATCCTCCAGGAAAGAATCTACACTGAAGGAATTAGGGGCGTCAAAAGCATCAGGTTTACATGCAAAGTCTATGTGGTAGAGAGTTGAGGGATTCAGTGGAGCATTTCGAGCATTCAGGAGCGTCAACCAATCGGAAAAGCTTAGACAGACTCTACCTCCAAGCTGTCATCGCTTCCGTAGATACTCTGCAGATGAAAATTAAATAAATATCAAGGAGTTAAACTCCAAGGTTAAATAAAGCAGGTAGAATGGATTGTTATGTAGAAGGAACAGAGAGCAGCTCTGATGACTATTGCTGCACTAAAACATTTTTGGAACTATGGAGGAACAGTTTATAAATGAGCAGGAAATCCCCCACAGGCTGGCTGCAGCAGAGAGTTTTCAGCGGGGATTCCCAGCGCCGCCTCCCGGCGGTATACTGGAGGTCTGGAGCTCCCAACAGGAACTGTAGCTTTAAAGCATACAAAGACAGTAATATTAGAATAATAACGGCATTGTACAAAGCCCTAATAAACCTTGATAAACATACAACTAACTATGTAAAGGGAAAATGGGAAAGAGAATTTGACTTAGAAATTGAAGATATTGATTGGCTCAACATGTGAAAGCTACACCTTACAACTACTGACTCTCGGACATGGAGGGAATTTGCTTGGAAAAAATCTAATAAGATTTTTTATTACGCCCAAGTCCAAAAGTAAACAAATGCAGAGGCATCATGAATGTTGGAGAGAGTGCGGGGAGATAGATGGCAACCATTCCCATGTTTTTTGGAAGTGTTCAAAACTTTTGAAGTTCTGGGAAATGGTGCACAGTGTATTATGTGAAGTATTAGGGTATGTAATTCCAATGAAACCTGAAATTCTCTATTTGTGCAATTTTGGTGATGATATTATCCATGAACAGGATAACTATTTGGTAAAAGTGATGTTGATAGCTGCAAAGAAATGTATAACAGGGAAATGGGGGAAGTCAAACGTGCCATCAAAGGACCAATGGATCATGACGATTGAAGACATATTTCTCATGGAAAGACTAACACACAGACTGAGACTACAAGAACCACAGATGAAAAAAAATGGGAAAAATTGACATTATATAAACAGAAAAACTGAAAAGAAGGTGCTACCCAGACATGTTCATGTTAATGTACTTTGTTCCTTTTTATTTGTATGTTCGTTGTATGATCAAAAATAATCAAATATAAGTGACAAAAAAAACTCTTTTTCCAAATCATAAAGTAAATGAAGCCAAGCTGCTCTCTAGCTGGAAGCTACAGAACAGAGCAGATAAACAACCAGAGCGTCCAGAGTGCTGAAGTGTCAAAGCAACTTGACCACAGTTTGATCCAGCGTCTAAATGTTGGCGTTTAAGATGATTTTGATGCCCCTGATGCCTTCTGTGAGAACAAAGCTTAAGAGTTTCATCCAAAAGCCAAGGATGATCTCCTTTATATTATAACTACGGTTACAGACAGACCGGTTCTGTTTGTCTGCCTTCAGAGGGATTTATTATTTTGATGATAGAATCCCATTTGGATCCGAACCTTTTTCACTCTGCTGCTGATAATTCAATCACATTATGGGATGTTGTGCCATTTCTACGGTCACAGAAATATAAGTTATGAGTCTTTGATTTTCTACTCATTTTAATGTCCTGTACTGTGTAACCAAGGTGATTGATGATGATCACCATGATGATACTATTTGTCATGCAGACCCTGGCTGGGTCTGTGTTAGAGGATGAAAGTTGACAGCCTTTAAACAGAGCTGCTTCAAAGAGAGCAGGCCCGGAAAAAGGACCAATCAACTCCTGTTGTTTCTCTCATTGTTTAATGTACATCAATTCAAGTTGGATCAAAAAGGAAAGAAACAGAATGAAAAATGTTCAGTCACACATGCAGACTGCCACTCTGCTGTTTTCTCAGAGAGGATGTTAGTTTGCAGAATGGAGCTCAGATGCTGGCTGTGCACCTGAGCCTTGTTCGTCTTTTTGCCGATGATCATAGAGGAGAACAATTTCCTCGCATTTTTCAGTTGTCAGTTATACTTCTACAGTCTGCGTTTATGGATCTGATGGTAAACCTGGAGTCCAGACCATCTCCATCTGATTTTTAAATCAAAGAAACAACCTTTACTTTAACTGGATAAAAGTCATCTACCAGCACAGCAGCGGAGGTGGAGGCAAAGTTGAGGCAGAGAAGTAGATCTTGTTAAACGCTAAACAATAAAACGCTGGACCTTTTTTATGCAAATGTTAAGGATGCATACACCTCCACCCCCCTCCCCCCTCTGGGTCGTTCAGATCACAACCTTGTCTACCTGCCCCCCCATTACATTCCACTGGTGAGAAGGACAATTGCACAGAAGAAGTCAGTGAAGTTTGGTCGGATGACGCCACTGAGGAGCTGAAGGATTGTTTCAGCACCACAGACTGGAGCATGTTCCAAAGCTCTCATGGTGAGGACATCAACAGCCTGACTGAATGCATCACTGACTACATGACCTTCCTTGTGGAGAGCATTGTGCCTACACGACGGCTACGATGTTTTCCAAACAACCGTCCCTGGCTGACCCCTGAGCTGAAAGTCCTCCTGAATGGGAAGAAACAGGCTTTCTACTCAGCGGGAGCTCCAGTGGAGGATCAGGACAGCAAAGAAGGACTATGGGAAGAAGAGGGAGGAGCAGCTGGCGCAGAAGAACGCCAGAGATGTGTGGAGAGTTCTGAAGAACATCTCTGGCTTTGAGCAGAGGACCAGCAGGGCTGCAGACGCTAACACCAAGTTTGCAGATGAGTTAAACAGCTTCTTCATGCGGTTTGACTCCCCTCACACTGGTCCCCTCCCTGCCCTCAACTCTCCACACACCTCCAACCACCGGCCCCCCAGAGACCTTTTCCCCCCATCGCCTCCACTCCCACCAACCCCCGACCCATCCACACCTCCAGTCTACCTTCCCCCCCCCTCACAGTAACACCAATGCAGGTGAGAGGGCAGCTGAGGAGGCTGAAGCAGAGGAAGGCCTCAGGACCAGAGGCCCCCCCCCAGGCTGCTGAGGACCTGTGCAGATGACCTCTGTCAGGTCCTCAGCTACATGTACAACCTGAGCCTCAGCCTGGGGGTGGTCCCCACCCTGTGGAAGACCTCCTGTGTGGTTCCGGTTCCCAAAACGCCACACGCCAGGGATCCGGCCCACTTCAGACCAGTCACCCTGACCTCTCACCTGATGAAGACCATGGAGCACCTCGTCCTCGCCGATCTTCGCCCCACCTGGAGACCACTGGGAGCGCTGTGAGAGTCATGTTCTTTGACTTCTCCAGCGCTTTCAACACCATCAGACCGGTGCTGCTGAGGGGGAAGCTGGAGGACGCTGGGGTGGACAAGCACCTAGCTGACTGGACCACCAACTACCTCACTGACCGTCCTCAGTACGTGCTGCTGGGGGGGCAGCTGGAGGACGCTGGGGTGGACAAGCACCTAGCTGACTGTACCACCAACTACCTCACTGACCGTCCTCAGTACGTGCGGCTGCATGGCTGCCGGTCAGAGGTGGCACTCTGCAGCACCGGGGCCCCCCAGGGCACTGTCCTGTGTCCTTTTCTTTTCACCCTCTACACCTCGGACTTCACCTCCAACACGGACAGCTGCCACCTCCAGAAGTTCTCTGATGCCTCGGCCATTGTGGGCCGTGTGTCTGAGGGGAACGAGCTGGAATACCGGTCGGTCATCATGGCCTTTGTGGACTGGTGTGAGAGAAACCATCTGTCTCTGAACACCAGTAAGACCAAGGAGATGGTGATGGACTTCAGGAGAAGACCACCCCCCCACCCCCCCGTGATCATCCAGGGTCAGGACATAGAAACTGTGGAGAGTTTCAAATACCTGGGTGTTCATGTCAACAATAAACTGGACTGGACGGCGGCCTTCTTTTTGCCCGATTTGAAGGACGGGTCCGATGTATCCTCGTTATCCTTGAATATCCCAGGGTTCATTGCAAGACCAAGCAAGCCAGCTGCTCCATGCTCAGAGGAAAGGTTACTTGGCGCCAAACAGTGGTGAATATTAGAAGTGCAGTTTAATATAATCCAGTCTGTGAATAGTTCCGTGTAATGTTTGATTTATCTAAACGTTTTTATCTGTTACTGTGTAAATGGGTTTGGCTGTAATTCAAGCACAGATTCTAATATATCTGCAGGGTGGGGGCTATAAATCTGATAGGAGTTTTATTGTTTTATTGCTGTTTTTTACAATATGCTTAACTTCGTATTTTTTGTTGTTGAATATTAGAGATTTTGCAGATATATTTTTTATAAATACATTGTTTAGATTTACTTATATCTTTCTACCCCTTTTATAGAATAGAACAGAATAGAAAATCTCTTTATTGTCCCACAATCGTGAAATTTACAGCAGCAGAAAGATTATTGAAAATGGTCACACAAATGAGGACCTTAGAAAAATGTCTAAGAATAAGATAATAGGAAAAGTTAAAATAAAAGCAATAAAATACTGTAAAGGGTTTTAACAATATCAAACTGTGCACCTGGAGAATAAATAACCAATATCCAGCTATGGACATTTTTACAGTAATGGATATTTGAAAATAGCAGCAACATCAGAGATGTGCAGAATGACAGCAGCGGGTTATTTAACTGACTAAGGTTTCTATCATCAAGTGTGCTTATGCATTCCCACTTATTGTTTCTCTCTTTTTATTTTTCGGACTTTAACTCGTCCCGCAGTTTTCAACCAATTTCAACAATTTTAGTATCAAAACGTTCAGCTTGTTCAGGAGAATTCTGCTATGTCTTTTGGTAAAGATATTTTTTGTAGTTTTCACGATATTCAGCTTTTTCTGCATATTTTTGTCCCATTGAAATGCATGTAGAATTCTTAGATTTCAGGAAAATTCAGCTAAAACTTCACCATATTTGACCTTTAACTACTTAATCATACTTTCAGCTAGAAACACCATTCAGCTTTTAAAATATTCTACAAACATTCAACTATTTCTGTTTAAGTAAGCCTTTTGATATCTTTTAAAGTTTGTAAAATTGTGATTGAAATTTTATAAAAATATCTTCAGGTTTTCAATTTTATAGTGTAAGTCTATGGGCAGAATTCTTCAACTGTCAGAGTGAGTGCTCTACCTTTTGAGCTGTTCAGGTTTTTCCGAACAAATTGTTTTCACTCCCTCATTTTTCACTTAATTAAAATAAATTTTACATCAAAACGTAGGAATTTCTGTCAGGATTCTGGAAAGGTAACACTCATTGGGCTGGGATTTATAGTTTTCATACAGTTTGGCCTAGGCCACCAAGAAGTCCACACTCCCCCAATAGAAATCCAATGAGAGTTTCCAAAAATCTCATCCTAAAATCCAAAACGACACATATTTTCGTATCGCTCCCATTTCTTAACTGTTTTATGTAAAAATATGAAACTTGGTATAGAACATCTTCAGACCCTTCTAGCACTCACGTTTAAGGAATTTTTTTATTATCATTTATGGTTTAGCTGTTTAGCTGACTTGTTTGGGCATAGGAGAATGTTGATTCTGAGAAAAATCTTCAAATCAGAAAAACCACATTTTTACATTGTCACGGTGGCCAAATAGTTTTTAGTAGAAACATGAAAGTTTGCACAATCGAAGCCGAGAGATAGCTGACGCCCACAGTGAAATAATTTTTTGAATACCTTATATGGTTTTGGCTCACCACTCGTTTTTTCGGAGGAGTTTTTCAGCAGCTGAAAGCTCAGTAAAGCTGAGGTGCTGCATGTAATCCAGTAAGAGGAGCAGATGGGACAAACCATTTTGTTTCTCTTCCCATTAGGATTGTGAAAGAGCTACAGACATGAAAGTTACCCCAGTCGGAGACGAGGGATAGCTGTTGCTTAGACTGAAAGAATTTTTAGATACCATGTATGGTTTGCCTTCAGCACTCGTTTGTTCGGAGGGTATGTTTTGCTTTTGAGAGCTCAGCTCTACAATGGAGCTGCATGTTATTTCATGAGAGGAGCAGGTGTGACAAAACTTTTTATTTCTCCTTCCCATTAAGGTTGTGAATAAGCTAGAGCCATGAAATTTACCCCAATCGGAGACAAAGGATAGCTGTCGCTTAGACTGAAAAAATTTTAGATACCATTTACGGTTTGTCCTCAGCACTTGTTTGTTCTGAGCTGTTTTTCCCATTCAAAAAAGCCTGAGAGCAAAGGAATGATAGTGCTGCGCTTTTCTCTCTGTGACTGGCAGGCTAGTTTTTGCGTCGTCAAGGTAACGGAGCTTCAAAGGGAATGCCTACCTCTGCCACTTTATACATCACATATTAGTCAAATGGAGTGAGAAAACACTGATTTAACATTAGGAAATGGATGCTATATGACTACTGGCTATGACCCTTCACTTGATACGCAAACCTGATAGACTTTCAAAATAAGACTCAAGGGACCCTACAAAATAAAAGCCTCTTCGTAATACTCATATTTATTGCAGCATATGGCTCAACATTATGCCACAAACTCAACCCTTTTTTAGAAATTAGACTTTAGGGGGCTTTTCAAAACACACCCCCACAGAAAATTTCAAATTAAAAGCCTCCCATTGCCACTTCATCTATTGACCTATGCAGGTAAAAAGAGCAATTTTTAACGATTGGAAATTCATCAAGTATCACTGCCAGGTGTGACCCTTTCCTCAACACACAACCCTGCTAGACTTTCAAAATAAGACTGCAGGGACCCTAAAAAATAAAAGCCTCTATATTTGTCGTGTATTAATTGACGCAAATGGCTTCGCATTATGACCCAAACTCCATACAGCATCTATTCACCCAATAACATGGAAAACCAGTGATTTCACATTTAGAAATTTATGCTATATCACTGCTGGACATGACCCTTACCTTGACACACATCCATGGTAGACTTTCAAAATAAGACTATCGGGACTCTACAAAATAAAAGCCTCCTCCTTATGCAGACTATATGGCATGACCTGAACTCAACCAATTTCTTACCAAGGCCTGTTGACAACACACCTAAGTGCACATTTCTTAATGAAGCTGCAACATTTCCCCGGTAATAAAGCTTCTGCAAACCTCGTAAGCAGATGCTTTACTTCCGTCAACTTCCAGGTAAACAGATACCAATGGACTTTTTCTTCTGGTTAATCAACTTTAAATGTTTTGCTTTTAACATGAGTGTGTTTCTGCCATTATTCTGCCAAATGATTCTACCCTAAAAAATCTTCAGATGATTCTACTGTTTTAAGTTTCTGATTACTTCCTATCACATTTTCATATGTTCTTCAGCCATTTTCTGCTTCTTTTCCTTTATGCAGTTTCTTTAGCTATTTTTCCTTTTTTATTCAGCATAAAAAATCATTCCTACTTTGCTGTTTCTACGAAACAGCTTTTTCTAGTTACATTTGATTTTATCTGTTCCTGCTGCCGGTGGTTGGAACCTTTATTCCACTCTGGATCTTGTTAATGTAGTATTTGTTCACTTTACAATAAAAAAGAAATAAATAAACAAACAGTTTTGAAAACTGGTATTCATTCTTTTCCTGCTTTGTGTGTAAACTGTCAGGGTTGCTAAGCAACAGAGCCTATGGCAGTAAAACCCGCCGAAGGGCAGACCTGTTTGGATTCACAGCCAAAACTCTTCCGGTCTCCTTATTTTCACGGACTTGGAAGGATCCAGTCTAGGTAGACCGCGTCTTTGGAGGATGCAGCCCATGAATTTGAACAGAGCCCTCATCTCGCTACATTTCTACCGAAGGCGAAACCTAAAGATTATAATGAAGTTGTTGATTGTTGGGGAATTCATTGAGAATTAGGCATGAAGGTCCTCAGAGAAACGGCTTCACATTAAAACCTTCGGCTTGAACTCAATCGTCTGTTTTAAGGTCACTTCCTGTCTGCTGTGTAGCCAATGAAGATCAGACCCTCCTCTCTGAACACTAGAATCTCCTCCTAGATGGAGATTTAGTTCCGTCCCTGAATCTGTAGTTTTGGCTCAGAGATGAGAAGTAAATAGAATTCTTATTGAAGTTAGAATCATGTTTGGTTGAAACATGTAACGTATATAAATGACATTTTCCCTCCAGATCCCTTTGAGGGAGATCCATTTAAAGAAACAGATCCATTCAAGGCTTCATCAGAGGATTTTTTTAAGAAGACAACAAAGATGGATCCTTTTTCTACATCAGATCCCTTCTGTAAAAGTGCCACTCTACCCTCCAAGGTATGTGGGATGTATGTTCAGCTGTCTGTGATACTTCATTTATCTCTCAGTACATGAATTCTGCTGTGTTTTGTTTTCTTCTGCAGCAAACCAGTCACTTTACCGCTGCTGACCCGTTTTCTTCCAGCCACCAGAAACCCAGAGGACCAGGTAGGATCCTGTAAACAGGGTGTGCTTTCTTCTTCGGTCTGTGAAGGGTATTGCTCTGTGATGAATGATGCCTGCTCCACATGTTTATTTAAGAATCAGCTTTTAGCTTCTACAGACTCCTGAAACTACCAGATAAAATTACTACAAACATGAATCAAATGTAATAATAATAATATAACTTTCTCACAATGGAGAAATTAACTCTGCATTTAACCCATCCTTTGGGGAGCAGTGGGCTGCCCGTGTGTGGCGCTCGGGGAGCAATCAAATGATAAGGGTCTTGTTTAGGGACCCAGAGTGGCAGTCTGTGGGAGTGGGGTTTGAACTCAGAACCTCTGGGATATATGCTCCATACCCTAACCAGTAGGCCACTACTCCCCCCGACTGTTAGCAGTCAGTTGTTGCTGTTCCGTTTATTTTCCATCCTGTCTGCTGTTTATTGTGTGACAGTCCTGGAGAGTAGATTTTGGAATCTGGGTTTCTTCTACAACCTGCCTCTCTTGGTCAGCCTCTTTAGGCCAGGCAACTGTACAAGTTTTCCCCTTGGTGCGTCATGGTGCGTCCTGTGTCGTGTAGCATACAGGGGGTAACGAGGGGTGATTAGCTTTTCTCCACCACCTCCCCATCAGAAATCGTAAGGTCAGGAGAAAATCAAACATGTTTGTAATTCAGTAGTCCGTTGTAAGGTGTTGGTGGGTAGATCCTGCTGTTGAAGCAGAGCTTTGTGCTGTTTTATCAGAACCTTGTGGACTGCACAGGTGCAAACAAGCGAGTTCTTCTTCCAGATTGCCGAGTCCAACGTGTGGTCTTTGGACGTACAGCATGAGCAGTTAGATCGCATCACAGTGTCGGGTCGTACAGTGTAAGAAAACCATGGTGAGCTGTGTAGTATTAAACTGCGGTTTCGTTGTACAGTTTGAGCTGTTGCTGATTCCAATGAAAATATCTTACAGTGGATACCTGTCCTTAGTGACCACTAGTTCTCCTTGAATCAGGCACCTGTCAGATTGATTACAGGTCATGGGAATCTTATAAACAAGTATTTTCTGTGGTGAATCATTTCAAATCTTCTAAAATTACCTCTGCAAAATAGTGTGAAATAAAAGTCAAAACGCTCCTTTCTTCTCATCTGTGGGTGCCAAGACACTCGTGTACGATCTGTAGCACATCGTTATCTTAGCTTTGTGTCCACAATCATGTCTGAACAGGGAGGAACTGCCCTGACAGAAACATCCATTTGTTGTGTCTTAGAGCTTCTTTAACCAGAACCTGCTTTTGTTTTTCTTCAGACCTCTTTGCCACATTGGACCCGTTTGAGAGCGGTTCTTTTAGCAGCTCGACAAACAGCTCCACTGGCTTTGCAGATTTCAGCCACATGTCAAAACCCAGAGACCCGTTTGAAGGAAGGGCCAACTGGCTGCCAGAGTACCAGAAGGTATTGTACTGGGGGGCTTTTTCCTTATCTTGATCTCATGGTGGGGTCATCACTGTCTGTTAATGATGAGCAGATGGTGACTGAATCAGTCACTCATGGATAGTCTGCAGACTGCTGTCTGTCTGTCTGGTTGATCTTTAACTCACTCTGTCCAGCAGCAGATATCTCAGCACTGATGCAGGATTGCTGCTGGGTGCGGAACATGTGGTCGACAAAAATACCTGCGGACTAATGTCATTACAGCTAATGGTGACTTTGCTGCAGTACCACGGACAGCGCTCAGACCATGTTCCAGACACATTTACCAAAGTTTAAAGCCATCTGGCTGGTGGCCTGAAAAATACGGAGAAGTTGATTTACATTTCTTTTCTTTAAAGCACTGATAACAGATAAATAAACTGCTGTTTATTTCCGTTTTTCCTTCAACACAAAAAGTTTTTAAAATAATTATTATTTGTACAAATAACATACAGCTATACTCAGATTAATTAGCAGATGGGGTCTGGAGAACGATTTTTAATCAATTATCAACAAAGGGTTTAAATGTTTTTAACATACAGTAGTAGCATTTCAAAATTTCCCCACTTTCCTTGATGGGCCTTCGGCTGGTCCTTGATGGGTCCTTGACAGGTCCTCGGCTGGCCCTTGGGTGTTCCTTAATGGGCTCTTGGCTGGTCCTTGGGTGATCCTGGATGGGCCCTTGGCTGGTCCCGGATGGGTCCTTGGCTGGCCCTCGGCTGGTCCTTGATGGGTCCTTGACAGGTCCTCGGCTGGCCCTTGGGTGTTCCTTAATGGGCTCTTGGCTGTTCCTTGGGTGATCCTGGATGGGCCCTTGGCTGGTCCCGGATGGGTCCTTGGCTGGTCCCTGGCTGGCCCTTGGGTGATCCTTGATAGGTCCTTGGCTGGCCTTGGCTAGTCCTTGATGGGCCCTTGGCAGGTTCTTGGCTAGTCTTTAATGGGTCCTTAGCTGGTCCTTAATTGGTCCTTAGCTGGTCCTTGATGGGCCCTTGGATGGTCCCCTAAGATTCCTTTTTTAAACATAAATATTTGTACTAAAATATTCTTTCTGTCATGATTTGTGGACATTGAGATCTAAAGAGAAGCGTCATCTCCTGGTCAGACCCTGTAATTCAGTGAAAGGCTGGAGTCAGAGTAAAAAACTGTACGCCCAGGAGACGGAGGGGGCCACTCTAGTGGCAGGAAGTTGGCTGCCAATCGGCCATTTTTGAATGGCTGTTACTGTAGAGCTTTTAGAAATAAACTGCAAATAAAAACAGCTGAATCCTTGGTCTAATATCATTGTTTCATAGTTATTATGAGGTTTGACTGCAGGGATTTATCAGAAACAGATTTATTGGTTAAAGGAATAGTACACCCAAAACATGATTAGCCTTCATTTTCTACTCACCCCCATGCTGAACAACACTCTTGAGTACTTTTTTGATATCTCAAATGCATCTGGAGATCTGGGAGGCTTCTTGCTGTCTGCTGACATTCAAATAATGGAGGTCTATGGTGCCCGAGGCAGAAAGGTCCATAAAAGTCCACAAAAAACGTGTCAATATTCCTCCATACTGCTCGTCCAATGAAGGCTAATCATGTTTTGGGTGTACTATTCCTTTAAATAACAATAATAAATCTGCGCTGGGTGTAAGTGATTACAGTGATTACAGATCAGTCGGTATGTCTGGTTCAATAAGTTGACTAATGGGCTTCAGACATGTTTGATGATTAGCAGTAATGTAGAAAAGGGTTTGATTGATTTCTACCTGTCTTCTGTTCCAGCCAGTGTTTGCAGATGACCCATTCATCAGGAAAACAGACATGCCTGCTCTGCCTCCAAAAAGGACCGTCCCTCCCAGGCCCAAACCTCCCAGTGGTGAGTGCCTCATGGCAGGCTCCAAAAACCAGTCCCCTTCGTAGAGTTCCTCCTTATGAAGAGAAATATAAACCCCACCACGAGGAAGAAAACTTTAATCATCCAATAAACCCAAGGTGCTGGTGGATTGGTTCTACACACCTTATAGCCTTTGGGTTTAATTACATCTAAATCTATAGAGTCTTCAGAAGGAAAGCTGTGAAATGCAAAGTGGATAAAGAATCTTTGAAGCATTTAAAGGAGCTGCTCTGAGACTGGAGATCTGCCTTGAACTTCTCGGTCTGTTTTTTCCAGCCATGGCTTTCCTTTCTTTGAATCTATATCGATCCTCAGGAAAATATTCCCCAGCTCTCTCTACTTCTCTAGGCCTCTTTAAAGGAAAGCTCGGAAGCTTTCTTTCTCTGCAGTTATTTTCCCGAAAAGAGATCACTCAGGAAAAACCATTTATATAACTTCATAATGTTTATGTATTAAATAACCAGGAGACTTGACAAGAGATTTAGACAGAAATTATAATCTCACTCAGATCAAAGAAGTTGCTTAGAGTTGCAGAAGGCAGCGCTTACCAACCGGACTCACATCGCCTTGGAGTGTCAAAGATTCATAGTGAAAAAGCATCTTATACAACCCCAGTCTGCCACATCATTATATCATCACATCATTACATCATCCCGTCATTACAATGCCACGTCATTACATCATTACAACGCCACATCATCACATCAAAACATCATCACCTCATTACAACGCCACATCATTACATTATCATTACGTCATTACGCCACATCATTAAACTGTTACTTTGTTCTTTGATCAAGGAGACAGCTTTCATTTCATTCCTCAATCTTTGCCAATGACATAATGAGGATGAATGTTTTTCTTAGTAGCAGTTCTAATTAGATAAACTAGTTGGGAAAACATCACAACAGGCAGGTATTATTAGGGTTTAACAGACTCACACATCATCAATCAGAATAATCCTAACAGCTCTGTCAAGTCTTCTTATCTTCTGTCAAAGCTGTTTGGCTTCTGTCTTCTCCTCTTAGTCCCTAAAATGTTTGTTTTAAATTGGCAGTACATAATAAACTTTATGTTGTTATGATTATGACATTTGGCATATCTACATTTAACGAAGGATTATTTTCATCCATCTAACTTTTTACTTTATCTCCAGGTAAAACCACACCAGTGAGCTTGTCTGGCTCAGCAGATCCCTCCAAAACATTTGACCCCTTTCAGCCATTTGCTTCTGATGCAGTTGACCCTTTCCCGAGTAAAAAAAGCCAAGGAGACCCATTCAGTGGAAAAGACCCCTTCTTCTCATCTTCAACATCAAGTAAAGCTCCTACAGACTCTACCTCCAGTTTTACAGATGTCTTTTCTGGAAGTTGAGACGTGGTGATGCTGTTAAACCTCAGAGATATCAGACGTCTGTTTATACATCGCAACAAGTCGACTGAAGAAATAATTGTTGAGGATGCAACCTTAAGGTTGAAATTATTTTCAGGAAACCATTATCTACAGAAGTGGAAAGGAGTTCCTTTCCTAATAGTTCGCTCTGCGTGTTGATTCAGTTCAACAATTGATTTGACTGATAAAATTATTATTATTATTTTGATAAAATAAGTATGAATAGAAGGGGTAGAGCTTAGCCGCCTGTGGCCCGGGCTGCCTGTCACAACTCCAGTCCGGCGCGCGGATGACATCATACACGCGCCGCTCCAGGGCGGCTCATTTTCTGTGCGAATTGTCCGTGCATCAGCCATAATTTATCACACTTTACACTTTATCTAATAAAACAGTGCAAGCAGTCGCAGACACACGTGACCTAAAATCAGTTTCCACTGACATCTAGACTTACTGTGATTACAGAGATGAAAATCAGCCCACAGTTCAAACTCTATTTGTGTTTCCAGACATTTCAAAGCTTTGGAGCTGTAGAAATAATACTGTGATATTTGTTCTTAAGGTTGTCATAGCTCATTGTAATCTTCCTCAGAACATTTGCTTTCCTTATCAGAGAAATATACCGCCAACAATGGCAGAGAACACATCACCACCAAAGGTCCTCCTTCAGATTTAGATCATTAAAAAGTGGACAGTTCCATCCCCAGTCACACAGCCATGTCTGCTGCCTCTGATTGGTCCATTTAAAAAATTGAAGGTGGGCTGTATCTAACAGCACCATCAACTCTCAACCTCCTTGTCTAATTCAGTGTCCCCCACATCCTCCTTGTCCCCGCATCCTCTTTGTCCTCCTTGTCCCAATATGTCCTCCCCATCTCCTCCGTGTCCCCATGTCCTCCTAGTCCCTGTTCAGCATGCTCTCAGGTTTGAAGAGTCTAGCTTCAGCTGCTACTGATTCTCTGATAGGAACAAATAGCAGAGATGAAATAAATCCTGATTCTCTGAAATTAATGGGTGTGAGTCCACATCCTAACTTTCTGTGTAAGTCGAGGTTCTGGCCTTTGGACTAGCTCTGGTTCTGTCTGCATGTCCAGATTCATTCATCACTGCAACACTGACTCCTTTTGGTCCAATCGGGTACAGTTATAGCAGCCAGATGCAGCCACCTGATTGGACAGCTGCTGAAAGTAAACAACGTTTTAGGGTCAGAACCCCACATCCCCTCCGTTGTTGTAGATCATTTTTAGTCCGAACAGTGATTTCATTGCGAAGGTCTATTGTGTCTGTAGTGTTTATTTTTCTCCTGACAAATGAAGCAGCTTTTGGAGGCCTTGACATATTCGAAAACGAACAGAAAATTCCTGACAGAATTCATTATTTTAATGAAAAGGCCAGACCAAATTGCTCTGCAGTGCTTCCTAAAACTCTGAATACCTCCTCCTGGGGAGTTTATGAGTATTCTAAAGGGGCGTGGCCAGGACTCAAAGACGGCATACTTGCCAAGATTTTGAAAGGCAACCCTAACCCTAAGTCAACTTAGTCTTGTTGATCCCCTCGGAGTTCCTAACAATACTGTCCAGTCAAATGTTGACATCATCAGAACCTTTTTTTACTTGGTACCGTCCCTTTCTGTCCTACTTGACCTTATCAACTTAAACTGTGTCAGCAGACAGAAAACATGTTTTAACTTTGTTTAAGGCACATCTAGTTTTCGTTAAACAATGTTGCCATGGCAGCATGGTGGTATCTTAGTATTGTTTTCCTAACCTCTGAAGAACTGCTGCCTTTAACAGGTCGGATTGTAGATTGAATGTTTGGCTCTAAATCATAATCTGATTGGCGTTTAGCTGAATATCAGCAATCTTTGGGTCCCCGAGAGCTGTGTTCTTAGATTTTGACTCCCCTTGGACTATTTGAAGGGATATCTTCCAGATTCATCATCACATTTGCTCCAAATGTTGAGAGTCTACCCATAGGCTGCTGATCACTAACCTGCTCATTTGGTGACATCAGTTTAGCCCCATTAACTGAGAACAGGAAGTGACCACACCTTGAGGCCAAAGTCTTTTAACTGGAGTTTAACTATTTAAAGTCCAGGTTGGGTCTGTTGTACCGTCTACTGGTGACTAGCTGGGCAGAGGCATGAATACGGATGCTCATCTTCCCCGGTCCCAATAAGCTGTTGGCGCTTAGCAGCAATGGATGGCCCTCGCCGCTCAGCGCCGACAGCTTATTGGGACCGGGGAAGCTGAGCATCCATATTCATGTCTTTGTTTCTCTTTCACATGATGTATAATCAGTAATGAATTTGATTTGTGCTAATATGAGTCCACGAGTTTTAGTAGGCTCTATACATTTGCTCCACATCTCAGTCCGATTGGATTGACAGAACCAAAATAATTGGGATTCAGTGAAAACCTTATCTGAGTCCAGGAGACATCAGACATGCAGGCAGATCCAGGAACTACTTTGTCCAATCACATTTTCCCTTTGGTTTTAGCTTCATGGCGCCTCCTTCAGCCCCGCCAGGACTGATTCCTTTGGTGTTTATGATTCCTTTCAGAGTAAAGATCCATTTCAGACAAAGTTAGACAATAGAGAACGTCTGTGAACTTGCATGTTTGTCTGTTGTCTGTGAAATGTTACTGATTAAATAACCGACTGACATTTGGTTTCAACTTCTTTGTCCGATAAGCTGCGCCTCGGACAGGACCTGAAAAAGCCAAGGTAAGAACCCACAGAACCACATCAACTATTTCTAACTATTTCTAGTTCAATAACATGACATAGGGCTGTAATAATATTAATAATACGATGCATTCCTCCTGTGAAATTCAGACTGAATGCACAATAGGCTGCTTGTTGGTGTAATGAGGGAGCTAACTGCACAGAAACCCTGCAGCAGAGACAGGACCGCATAACGCTGCCGACTGGAAGAGAAATCAGGACTGCTTCTAAATTATTGAGATAAAGAGACAGAAGGTCCTGAATGTAAGAGAGGATCTGGGAGAGCAGCTGCATCAAGCAATGCTAACTGTGTTAGCAGGGCTGTTTATTCACTGGATTGCTGATAGGCCAAGAGTATTACATGGTGCTGTGAAGTCACCAGCAGCCATATTGGTACTCCCCAGTTAGACCGGTCAGAATATAAACAATCCGTGCTCTACAGCATCGAACAAAGATGATTCTCATTTTCAGGGGGACTTAAGTCTTGTAGAATAAATCTAAATTCATACTGTGTTTTATGGTAAATAAATAGGCACATCACATTGCATAGTCAGTATGAAGTTTATAAATCATGTAACATAAAATATTCTATAAATCCATCAAAATGAAATGTACTGTGTTAATTGAGCATAATAATACTGAAGCCAAATATTAAGAATATTATACACACACATACACTATGTGATGATGTGCTAAGTTGATCATTTACATGTAATGTACGTGTATTGACCTCATTGTTATGGTAAGGACATTACATTACAGGCGTTTTTATGCCGCGACTCCGTGAAAATTGGAAGTAGCAAGATGGCGGCAGGTGACTTTAGTTTCTTTGGTCTATCAGCAGTCCAGTGAAAAAATAGAGATCTGTGGTCTAACCGCACTGTCCCGCCAACATTCGGCTTCATGCTGTTCTCCTTCAGTCTGGAGGAGAAAAGCAGCAGCTTCTGCGCTCCACTTGGCCTGGTTTCTATGGCAACAGTGAGTCTGTCTCCATGTGAATGGCTGTGTCAACCATTTTGACGGTGGGACGTCTGGAACGAGACCTGCAGTTCTTCCTAAAGCTAGTTTGTAGTTCTTTGGATCTAAACTAATGAATTTGGCTCATTTCTCTTATAAGAGAATAAAAACACAAATTGGGGCGTCATTTAACAATCAACCCGGTCCGGTTTCAGCAGTTCTTCTAAAACCTTGATAAAGACGGAGGTCTGGGTCCAACAAGCTACTGCTAATTTATGCAGGTTTGGGAACAGAGCTAAACATGTTTTCCTTAGAAATAGAAAGTCAGGTTGTGACGGTCCAGTGGTTCTGATCCAGGACCTCCTGCAAACAACCCTTCATCACAACAAACATGAGTTAGACATAATCAAAGCAGCATAACCATCACTTGACAGATTCTGGGCCCCGTCAGGAACCACGCTTCATAGTTTGGTTCAGTTCTGTTAGAGTTGGAATTCATTTTCTCAAAGCAGACTGAATTTTAGCATTAAAGTCAGTTCTGCACAGGTCCAGCTTGTTGTCTGAATCCTGGTTCTGTCTGTTTGTTTGTCCAGTTTGGGAATGAAGCTCAGCAGCTTGAATGGGCCAAACGGGAGAGCGAGCGGGCCGAGCGGGACCGACTGAAGAGGCTCCGGCAGCAGGAGCAGGAGGATCTGGAGCTGGCCATTGCCCTCAGCAAGGCAGAGATGTCCAACGCGTGACATTTGAGCCTGATGGCGTCCTGCTGAGATCCCCACATATCAGAACACCTAACCCAAACAGAACCCACCTCCTCTGGACACACCACAAAATCAGGAAGATCAGGAGAAGGAACTCAGGGTTTGACTGTTTGCGATCTGATGCCGGATCCGTTCACTGAGTGAGGTGGAAGAACAGAGCAGGATTTGGGTCAACAGCAGCTCTTGTTTCGGTACTTTCACCTGTGAACTATCAGCATGGTGGTGAACCCAGCAAAGAAGTTCTCCTGGAGGAGGGGTTCCAGCATTTGGACATCCTGTGTTCTGGGTCATTTTAGGTCCTTTAGGTTCTGTGTAATTTTGTTCACCTTCATTCTGTTATTTCTAAGATTTATAGAATTTGATGACTAGAATCTGAGCATCCTGCCCAAAAGGCTGAACAAGAAACTTCTCAGGTCTGAAGTTGTCTGAAGGACCTTCTAAGCTGGTCCCCTGTGGGAAGACATCAGTTCTGGTTCTAAAGACACTGACCTCTTTATCTGATGTACAGAAAGAAAGAAGTTATTCATCTTTTCCCTTCTGTGTAAAAACACTTTTCAGTTCAGCAGGTTTTAGACTCCAGGTTAAAATGAAGCTAGGCTGAATATTTCATTCTGACGTCATTACTGTCCCCCTCCTGCAGCTGTCTATCTACTTTCTATAGTTCTAGTGAGGACGCAGGCAGCAGC